GGGGGGCATCTGATCAACATGCGTAAGTATCTGAAGGGAGGGTGTCAAGAGGATGGGGCCAGGTTCTTCCAGGGGTACCCCCAGTGACAGGACGAGAGGCAGCAAGCACAAATTGAAACACAGGAAGTTCTGTCTTAACATGAGGAAAGACTTCTTCATGGTGAGGGTGACTGAGTGCTGGAATAGGTTGCCCAGAGAGGTTGTGGAGTCTCCATCATTGGAGATATTCAAAAGCCATCTGCAAACAATCCTGGGCAGTGTGCTTTAAGTGACCCTACTTGAGCAGGAGGGTTGGCCTAGATGATCTCATTCTTCTCATTCCATTAATGAGAGGTGCACATCACAGTGGCAGTCCACGGGCAATCAACTACTCCACAATGGTGGGGGTGGAGGAAAGAGGGGAGAAGACAGAGGGGAACACCACCTCACCCTGGGTATTAAATTCCCACTTGCTGTTTCCTGCCTTTTTTCCCTCTCTACGCAAGAAACTTACCCCATCACAGCTTTGTTTAACCCCTTTCAGCGATGGAGTTCATTGAAAGCCATTTCACAGCTTTATAGTCCTTTGAGAGTAGGACAGAGATCATGGCCTAACCAGAAACTAAGATATTGAACAACTTGCTGGTCTTTTAGATGATTCTTCAGCTAGTAGCATCAAGAGCCTCAGGCATATAAATCCACTGTTCATTCTGAGGCATAACTTGCTTTTTCTGTGCAATATAGGACTCCCTTGAGGAAAAGTATCTGAGTAGGGAGAATTGAACGTATATCAAAATAGAGAACATGAAACTGACATTAACAGAAACACATCCAAAGTTCAGACCAACAGTTATGTCATGGTCCCTGGTGGTCAAGGCACAACAGCAGAAATAGTTTTGAAGATTTTAAAATGATTTCAAAGGAAGTTCGTAAGAGAAAAGTCATCTGGCACTCTGTTGGGTAAGAAAAATCTAAGAAGAGGACCATGGTTGTCCTACAAGTTACTCCTTCATATGAGGATTTAGAGACACATGCCATATATGAAGCTCTAATAGGCACTCCACATCAAAATATGCTGCACCATGTACTTATGATTCATGTTTATACCTACATTAGAACACACCCTGAAAGTGGAATGGCTTATTCATCTAGATACTGCAGAAACATTTTACAATAACTCTTGGATCACTTGACAGCCCTTTACCAGGATCTGAAAGTGTTGCTTCTGAAGTCTAACCTTCTCAAGACCTAAAGGATCAAACACAAGCTGAATGTGTAGGCTGAGCCTTTATGCACAATTTCCAATGACTAAAGTTAACTTCTGCTGTGAATGCAACTTATCAGCCTGACAGCAATCTTAGTTAACTATTTTAGTCTATCTGCTATAGTATGCATGTTAAACCTTTTCAGATTTCCCAAATGCCTTTAACTGTAGGCTGGGAAAACAAAATAAAAAAATAAAGCCAAAAAAAAGTCAAAGTGGAAAAGAAGAATCTATAATCTAAGGTAAAACAAAAACAAGATGCACTACCAGGGATGAAACAACAAGCATGTGTTTCTTTCACAGATGTACAAAGAGGGAAACGGTGACTATGCTTTGATGAAAAATATACTTTCCTGTATTTTTCAGGACTATGATCAACCCTCTTTGCAGTACTGCCTTCTTATAACATTTTTCAATATTTTTCAGTCATAGCTGAGAAAGTTGTAACCTTAATTTCCTGCTAGTAAAATTATTTGCTTCTTCTATAAAGATACTTTCTTCTTGCAATACTCACTTGAACCGATGCTATGAAACAACACCAATATCACACAGTTCCACAACAGATGAGTGCCAGTTACTCCTTGCAGCATTACTGCAATGAAAACAGTAGTAACAATGAATATGTGGTTTTGTATAAGTAACTTATTTTTTTACTTTGTATTTACTCTTTGTAACATGACAGAAGACTGCTGCACAGAGTAGGACTGCCATCTTCATGCATTAAGATGCAGGCCAAACTCAGTAAAAAAATTACGGGCAATAATTCCTGATTTTGAAGAAATTAGTCGCTTAGGAGAACTTACTGGGAGGACCTTGAACAGAGACTAGCCAAAAAATGGTTTCTTTTGAAGTATCCCAGTGCTGGCTATTTGACATTAAAAGCTAATCACTTTTAGCTGTTTTAATTCAGGTTTAGGGCCAGAAGTGGGACTGAAGAAGCAACCATCTTTGGAAAATTATGACAGATTATCTAATTTAGCTTACTGAATTCTTCAGTCTTTCCAACGCTAGAGAGTATGAAATACTTTGGATAAAAAAACATTTTTAAAAAAGGGGTCCAAAAGGATACTTTAGATAAAAATATTTAAAAAAAAATCCCAAGCCATTCACATTAATTGAGCAGCAGATGTTGAGATGGGCTTTATACCCCAAAACTGCTTCTTGAAGACTGCTTTAAGGGATGCTGTATTTCACTTTGCCTGGCTGCTACCTGTTCCTGTGACCTTTAACGAGTCTTCCAATTATTACCATGTACATATTTACTAGCTAAAGCAGCTTAAACCTAAAGATTATTTTAAATGATTAGTATTGGTATGGGAGCAGAACTCCATTTTCATAAGCACCGCACACAGAGGAGTAAGATTGCATTTTACACAGATCCTGTCCTTTGAAGGAGCTATTCTCTCTGTACTCCTGCTAAACGTGAATAACTTCCCTGCAGTTAGAACATACCTGTTCTGTAGAATAATATACAAGTATGTTCTCTGCCCCACAGAATAGCTTTGCCTTGGCACTTAAGTGTGAAATTATTTCTTAACAGGACAGGTCACAAGGAGCAAAGGCAAAACTTGCTTTTCCAGAAATCTATTATAATGCAATGCCATCCAGGAGAAATGGGAAAGGAGGAAACACTTTCTGAGAGTGGGGAAACAAGGCAGATTTAAAGGTTCTAGCTTTGCCCCTTACCTACTTCGCCTTTCGCTATCTTTCTCTGCTACTGCTGGAACTGGAAGATCATGGCTATCCACAACACAGCAGCTACAGACTTCTTAGGCAAGACAGAACATGGACACAGGAAAGCCTGTCACAATGGACTCCCTGTTACCCGTGACATCGCTCACAGTGAACAGTACAGATGCGGTACCTGCATCAGCCATTTAAGGGAATGTTAAAAAGCCACATATGCAGTTAACTCCTGAGAAATTCGGCCCCTAAAAGAGCCAAGACCAAGTTACAGGCCCCTTAGTCTTCCCATCCCGAGTTAAAACTGAGTTTATCCCATTCTCTATCACAGCTCACTGTGCAAAACAAAAACACCACCTAGAAAACAACTGTGGAGATCAGGTAATAGAAACTGCAGTCCATTGATATACTCCTCAAATAGCCAAAGTTTAGGCAGATCATATAAGGTAGAACTTCCCAATAATTCCACTGTATGTAAACTGACACGTAACATTTCATTCAGGTGTCAAAAAAATTGGCTCAAACATGTAAAGTGCACACTAATTCTTGAATGAGGGTCACCCTACCAGTTCCCGAAACAAGTCTCCACACTGGAAGCAAAGGGCTATTCAAACATCAGTCTCTCTCATTCTTAGACATTTCCATTCAATTTATTAATGGAATGTTCTTTGGATAGACCAGGAACAGTGTTTAAAAAAAATACAGAAGCCTAAAGTAAATGCAGAGACTGGAGAAAAAAAAAAAAAAAAAAAGCTCTCAAAACAATCTAGCTCCCTAAAGCATTTACCATGTTTTAGAAAAAGCTTAAGCATCCACTGCTGTCTAAACAGATAAGAGATCTTGAAAAAAGTTACATATATGCACATGTATTTTTTTATCCTGTCTTAGTTAACTAATGAATAATGAGTTAAGAAGGGTGACTTCTTTTAAACTGCACTTTCTAAATAGCATTAGTTTGTTACGACAAAGTCAAGGAGCCTCACTTGCATTGTTTCTTTCTGAACAAACTATATGCTGCCACTCTCAATACTACCAATGAGGAGATATTTACAGACAGCCAATACAGAAGCATTTGACCGAACATATAATTAAGATTTTGCTTTGATTTCCGTCATGGAACACTGCATATGATGGAATGCATTACTGGGACCATACAACTATGGGAATTTTCAGATTGCAGGGAGTATTAGAAAGGTGTCCATACATGTTATCACCTTGTCGTTGTTTTTCTAGTTTAAGGCTGATGACTCTCCTTGCTGTAGCCTACTCCTGAGGCCTAAGCTAAAACCATCAGCCCACCCCCCCCATAAACTCCGCAAACTCCAAAGAGTTCTTCCAGTTACACCATTTTTGTAACAATCATATTTCTATTCATTTATAGGGATAACATGCCTGCAGAGAGAGAGAGAGAGAGAGAGAGAGAGAGAGAGAAGCAGCTGGCTTACATCTACGCTTTAGTAGTCAGTATTTACTTCCACCAGCAATTTGATGATGATCTTTATAGCCAAGCAAGCAGGAGTGACTGGCATGGGGTACTCTTGAGAAAAACCTCTTAGGATTATGAAAAGGATTCCTCCCAACAATGGCATCAGCTCCAAAGGCTGATGTGCAAGACTCATGCTACTTAAGAATAGAGAGCAGTAATAGTAAACCTAACCTTTTCAATGGCACAAGTACTGTAAGAACATGATGCGAAAGTCACACCACATCTAAGTAAGCCTGGTACAACTCTAGCAAGGGAAATAACCCTGCAGATCAAACCGGTATCTATTCAGAACACTTGTCTTAGGAATGATCTGTTTTCATCACATATATAAAGATGATGTCATACACTTAAAATATCAAAGTTCCCCTAGCCATCCTGATTTTCATGGCTGTGAATACAGTTGGGGAAGACTGACTAACAATATCATTAAGTGAAAGTGGACAAAAACCAATCTTACTACACGCTGTTACAAAAACTGCTACTACATCAGGCTAACCTTGCTACTTTAAGCACCCAACAGAATCTAGATTTTATTTATTTTAAATATAGGTATTCCATTATGAGTCTTAGTGTTTCTGGAAATGGAAAAAATCTTTTAACAATACACAATAAAAGAAAAAAAACTTTAAGACTCACCTTTGCTCTTGCAGATTAGTACAGAATGCCAGTTTCCAGAATCATACAGTCGGGTTCCTGAAGCAGCTGAGGAATACTTATTCAGAAGCTAATTAATCTATTTCCTTTTAATATTCAATTACTGAAGAGTTTTGAGGAGAAAGCTGTTGCAGTTCAGGAAAATCAGTTATCTTTCACAGTAAGCGCTCCTACGAAGAACGCAGAGTCTATGCTCAGTATCATAATCACAGTACTTAATTTTGTTTCTGGCTTGTTGAAAGAAAATCAAACATAGTATACAAAATTATGTTTGAGATTAGAGATACAAACTTCAGAAAAGCTCATGTGCAACTAAGTCATTTAAAGAATTTAAATGTATAATAAGTACTTAAGAATAAAGTACTCAAGAAACTAAATTGATTTGCTTCTTGAATTCAGGCTCATAAACAGAAAAGATCTTCATCTGTTTCAAATAAGCTATTTTAAAATACTCCTTTCTTGATGTAGTTTTATACCAACTCTGAAAATCTTAACTTCCCACCATAATTAATAAAAATGTATTTACTAAAGAAAGGAAACAAACTTTCTCTCTATTTTCATAAGCATTTGTTATTTTATAGGCTTTGAGCTTAGCCTTATTGAAATTTAAACTTTGGCATCATTCACAAATAGCTCTCACTCTTTAAAAAGGACTTTATTTTTAAAATAATTTTAATTCATTAGACCATACTTGATAAGTTACCAGTAGGACCTGAACCCAAGCATCAGACATTTGCTGCACTTTCAAGTTTTGTAACAACACATGATTTCCCAAAACAAACAAAAAAAAATTGTACATTTAGATTTACAGTTCAGTTTGTTGAAATTTACTAACATTTAAAAACACTGGAATTTGAATCAAAAGGGATACATATTAAGCACGTAGAAATACTGAAAAAGGTCATAGCCCCAAAATACATTTGGAAATGGAATGTGATTAATATGACAGACTGCAGTTTAGTAATTTCACGTTTAACCTAGTTAGCACCTTAGTGAACTCAACTACTGAATATAAAAAATTTAACGCATATAACGTGACAACTCAACAGGTATTGTACCATTTCATCATGAAGTTTCATTTTTTTGTGAGCATTATGTGCCATGTTTTGGAAAACTTCTGAAATATTACAAGTTTTCAAAATTATGTGAAAATAAGCAATGGCTACAGTTAAAATTTTAAACAGAGAAATACTTTCCTTCTACTTGTCATAAGTTGACTTTTTTAAAGCAATCATTTATAAGGATTGCATCAACATCAGTTAGCAGAGGAAGATCAAACTTTATTGAAACTGCTTGCATACAAAATATATTGCACTATAACCAAACAAATGTCAACATAAAATCCAATCTGTTGTAGCTAATATGTACAGAGAATATTGCCCAAGAGCAGTTACATTACAAGGTCAGTCTACCTTGGTTAATTATCTACAGTATTTTAAACCAAACAGCTTACAGATGATGTGTGCAAGGTACCAATTTCTGTTTCAAATACTATACATTCCCAAAATAAATAACTAGAAATCAACACTAATGTTTGGCAATACTTTTTAAGACATTTTTATATTCGTTAAATCATGTGCAGTTTGTTGCCTTTTTAATATGCTCACCTGTATGCAAGGAAAAGAACAGAATGAAAAAGCAAAGAAACAAAACTCACAAAATACATCAGAGGCAAGGTCAAGTTTGTACAATTCTGTACATAATCAGTGGCTCCCTTCTGGAGTAATTTGAATAAAAATGGATTAAAATGAAGGTCCTTATACAGTTTTGCCCAGTAAATTTAATTCATGATCAGAAATAAAAGAAAGCACAACTCCTCCCACCGCTTCCCACCCTTCCCTTGTGTATGATCGTACTTTGTATCAAATTCTGCAATAGCTTCCAATTGGCTGGTAATTCAGACCTTGTACCTCAAAATATTATGAATTTGTTCTCCCTATAATATATCCAGATGCTATACCTGAATTTCCAGGGCATTACATATGGTGATTTTCTTCTTACCTCCCCTGAGATAATCCCCAAATTAAAATAAGCAATTCAAAAATTTTAGGAGGATGAAAAGCGCTTTAAACTGGTCATCTGGCCAAATAGCAGGCACACACTACTAGCTTGTGAACAAGTTACATTTGTTCCCTCAGTAACGATGAGTTTTTAGTTTTCCACAACGGAAAGGTTTTTTTTGTTTAAAAAAACAAAAACAAAAACCTTCTGTACTGCCTACAAAGAAAAAAATTACACCCCTCTCTCAATAACACTATTTTTCCAAATCTTCAGTGCAAAATAAGTTTCCTATTCTTATAACTGCCTAACCCAATGTTTATGTAAGGAAAAAATTATGGAAAGCATGCACTTGTCTATAAAGTACTAATGTCTGACAAGGATTGCTACATATATTTTACATTTAGTGTTACCGACTCATCTTCCCTGATTTCTGCATCCAAATATAATATTCCTACCTGCCAAGATATAAAAAAGGCACAGATCATACAACTTTTTTGCTAATGAAAATGACAATTGTTACATCACACATATTTCAGGGCCCACTAAAATACTGAAAAAGGTGGACCAGAATGTGAACTGACACAGGACATAAAACGACATAGCATTTCATGAAGAACTTGTAAGTCAGATTGAAAACAGAAGCCAATTTGATTACTGCAAACACTATTTATTCTGAAAATTGAAATTGAGCAGTGATTTTGACCCGATGCGTTAAAATGGTACAACTGAACAGAAAGTTTACCAATGCACAGCTCAGTATTTTTAAAACAAACAAAAAAAGATTCTTTCATTGTTTGAAGTGCAATATGTACTTGAAAGCGATTTTCGGAAATTCAGATATTTTTATGCAAATATTTGAGTAACTTCTTATTCTGAAAACAACTGCTTACTGTTGATGTTAAAAAAGGCTAACAGAGAACATATGTTCATTTCATGCCCTGCGCCATCTTGCCTACTATTTGTCTTTGGCCTAACAAGTTTCTCTAACGTGGAATAGGAATTACTGAAACAGTATAGGAAATATGACTTTAGAATTATGCAGTTTAGGGTACTCCATTCACCAATGGCTGTTGACCATCTGCGCTGTCCGCTTTCTCTTTCTTCTGATTACGTTCTTTACCCGTGCGCAGCCGACTACCTTCACTGGAGGTATTCTGTAATGTTTTAGTGTGGACACTCCTTTCATTATTGCAGTCAATTCTGATCTGGAACAAGTCAGAGTTATATAAAGCATTCTCTTTCTTACATCCACCCTCCAGCATTCCCTGTATTAGCAGCCTGGGAGGGGCACTATTTATTAAGTGGTCAGTAGACACAATTAGATAGTCCCACACCCTTACCGTTTTGTTAAGCAGATCTAATTGAAAAGGAAAAGCGTGCAAATTTTTTTCTTTGAAAATGTCACACACTTGTGACCTAAAAAAATATCCAGTCTAGCCTTGGAAAGCTAAAATAAGTAAGTTCCTGAGAAGCAAAAAATAGTGAGCATATGCAAGAAGAATTTACAGTATCCTGAACTTGGAAACATCATTTGGCTTTTAATAATTCAAGTTTCTACGTGTTATATAGAAATATTTTTGAATAAAAATGAACACAGGAAAGCTGTAATGAAATGACGCTAACACTCCAAAAACATCCACTCAGCCACCCCTTGCAAGATTTCATTTAATCCACCAAAAAGACATATCTGGCTTTTCTAAACCATCTTTAAGAATTTCACAAAAGCATTTTAAAAGCAAGATTCTTCTGCTCAAAGGGTAAACCTTTAACCTCATTTCTCACTTACTCCTCAAAACATTACAAATTCTTTTTTTAATAACCTGATCAGCCAGGATTCAAACATATGTAAGACCTTATTTTAATAAAAAAAGTCTTCTCATCCAAATTTCAGAATAACAAAGAAAAAAAAGACACTGATAAACCTCTTATTTTCTTCCTTAGGAACACACTTTTCCATTACCTGCCTGACAAACTTTTACATAGAATTAAGAATTCACTTTTAAGTTGTGTAGCCATACAAATTTTTTCCATGTAAACTGTGTGCACTTGCAATGTACATTCAGGTATTACACCTCCCACTTCTGCACTTACACTTGGGAAAGAGAGCATCTAGTCATTCACTTCAGATCCTCCTCCCCCTGCCCTTTTCAACCCAAATCAAAGAGTCATCCGCAGTCTCCCAGTAGAGTCATAACTCCTGGTAACACCATTCACAAGAAAGCAGCTGCAGCTGCTCATTATTTCTTTTTCCCAATATAATTTGTCCTTCATGGCAAAAGACTGTCTATGTGTTATCATTTGAAGCAAGAACAGTTTCCATTTGGGCAACTTAACATACATACGTAGATTATCAGCCTGAATAACTTCACTCAATAATACATTCTGGAAAAAAATTGTACAAATACTTTTGTAAGAGACTAAAATATTTTAATATATAATTTGAAATATTTCTTCATGGGATTTTTAACTTTTTTTTGCAACTTGCCACTACTTGACTAATTGAGCATAGCTTTAAATTGCAAGTGTTTAATACTGAAGGTACAGTTTAAATTTCTCTCTCTTACTCTTAAGATTCCGGCTACAACATACCCCATTTTTCAATCATTATATATTCTCCGTCCTCTGCTATAGTACTTGTGCCGTAAAGACAAAAGACAAGAACCGACAATGCAACAACAACAAAAAGCTGAGTGGGGGGGGAAAAAAAATCAATAAAAACAAAGAATGAAATGAAGCTATTTTAGCAAAATCTTAGGACTCACGATTAGAGTTCTAATGAATGGAAGAGTCAAACTCACAGTTAAGCTATAAACCACCACTACAACTGTGGTCAGTCTGAGCTACATTGAGAAGATAGGTTTGTCCTCTTAATTTCATAAATTAAATTCAGTGAAACTTTCAGAAACTGACAGCAAGACAAAGATCTGTAGTTTCCACATTAGGAAGTCACATCTTTACAAAACCTGATATATCAAGATTCCTGCAAATACGCTACAAAACGGTACAGAACTGCACTATTCTTGTATATGTGGTTAGAGAATGAAGAAACACAAGGCTACAGCATTACCTGCAGTTTTGAGAAGTCTGATGTTAGTACCCGATACTTCCGCAATTTTTAAACAGTGCAGAGTTCTAATCAGAGAAAAATTACCTGAAGAGATCCATCTGCTGTTCTCCCTTTTGTATCTCTTGAGTTACGTTGACGGTTATCTGTTCGTGACTGTTCATCATTTCCTGTAGGAAAAGTTAATCAACTAACTTGTTTAACAAAGATGTATAATTTTCCTTTACTTAATATTTATATATGCATAACAGGAAATTACTTCAAAACTTTCATGTTAAAGAGCATTAAGAAAAATATTCTAAGAACACAGCAGCAGTTCCTGAACAACTGTCCACTGAGAAAAATCATTTCAGGTGACAATCACGGTGGACCAAACCAGCATTTAAAAACAAGACAGGTTGAAAGAAACAGTCTCCTGAAAGTGACAGAAGAAGCATCTTTCATGAAATGATCAACCACAGGAAAGACGCGCATAACCAATTTTAATAAGACTTAACAAGTTTGTATCATTTCTAATGGCTTATGAACTTAAGTTCTGCTTTACTTTTTTCAAAAAAAGTCTTGCTAAATTAAGCAATACTCGTATCTTGAAAAATATTTCAAGGAACAAGTATGATTGTATTGAAAAATATTTAACATAATAAACATAATGAAATAACACATTATAAAAAGTATGTATTTAAGTTCTCTCATTCTACCTCTCCCTGGTCCTTTCCAGGGACTATAAAAATACAGTTCTATATAATCCAACTTTATACAGGCCTATTGCATGAAAATGAACTAAAATATGGGAATATGCACAGTTGATTGAGTAAGACAAATTGTTTGTCTTCTGTAAAAGTCTGTAAGACTGTTTTACATCCACTGACAAATGAGAGTTTGATTTCTTTACCTTCACGTGTGACAGTACAGCCTATAAGCTTGAGTCAGATTCATGTTAGGAGAGCAAATGATATGAAATGTAATCCCTATTAATTTTGATAGGAAATAGAGGCCCTTTACAATGTATGAAAAGATGCTGGGATGGAATGCATCCTCAGTTAACACTAAACTGTGGGAAGGGGCTGACACACTGGAGGTCAGGGCTGTTGATCACGGGGTCCTTGATACACTGGAGGAGGTTGGCTGACAGGAATCTCATTAACTTCAAAGGCAGATCCTTAAGTCCCACAGTTGCAACAAAATAACTCCATGCAACAGCACAAAGTGCCACTGGCTAGGTAGCAGCTCCACAGAAAAGGCTGTGGGGGTGCCGGCTGATCAGTTGACTGCAAGACACTAGTCTTACTAGGTGCTCTTGCAGCAATGAAAGTTAACTGAATAACTGGTTGCATTAGTAAGCGTACAGCCAGCAGCTCCTAACGATGGACTATTCCTCTCTACTTAGCACATATCTGAAATAAAACGTTTAGTTTAAGAGAGATCAAAGTGGAGAGAGTCCAGAGGAGGGCCCCCAAAAGGCCAGGAGCATATGACATACAACAAGATGAGGTTGTTTAGCTGGAATAAGACCCAACTGCAGTCTTCAATTATCTAAAAAGGTAATTTTAGAGGTGAGATGGAGTCACATTCGTCCCAGAGCTGCACAGCAGAAGGACAAGAGACCATGGTCACCAGTTGCAGCAAGGAAAACTCCAACCAGATACAACACAAGAAAAGGGTTCATAAGGGACAGTTAAACAATGGAACAGGTTGCCCAAAGAGATTGTGAAACCTTCAAAATCTCTTGGAGAAACTCAAAACTTTAATTAATTGAACAAGGTCCTGAACAACCCAATCAACTCTGAGCTTAGCCTTGCTCTGAGTAGGAAACAGGACTAAATGACCCCCTTTCCAATCTGTGTTCTTCTAAACTTTTAATAATTAAGGATGTAACAAAGTGCCAAAGTTCAGACAAACTGTCAAGATAGAGACTCCAAAAATAAGTCTAATTTAATTAGTAAAAATACATTTAAAATAGATGCACTATGTTTTTCTGCTATGAGAAAGAGAGAGAAAGAGAGAGAGAGAGAAAGAGAGAGAGAGAGAGAGAGAGAGAGAGAGAGGCATTTCTTAATGTAGCCAACAGAAAAATACTTTTGATTAAGGACTCCAAAACTGACCTCCTCTTTTTCAAGATTAAGCCTGTACTTACCTTTGAATCCTCCACGACCCCTCCCTCCTTGCCCTCTTGCACCACCTCCACGTCTTCGCCCATCTCCCCTACGAAGGTAGCTGTCTCGCTCTTCTTCAGCTGGGGCTAACGACCAATCGCTAAGTTCATCTCTGTGATCAGATTCTGTTTCAGAAGCATTTGATGCTTCAGAATTAGTTCCTATCAAGAGGATAAAAGAAATCCAAACATGCCACTATATCTCATCATGAAAGTACTACAGTAGAACAAAAAACACTAAAAACATTTCTTTTTTAAACAAGAAAATTAAGGACTTTTGCCTCCCAACGTCTAACACATTGGAAAGACTGAAACGTGTATAATACATTATACACTCTTCCTCAAAAGGTAAAGACAATCATTAAAACTGAAAGTTAAAACTCTGTTTAAGGTTAAACAATTAGATGTAGCACACTTTCATAACATGTTTGACTTGGTGTTATCAATCTGTGAATATATTAGCTAAACTACTATGCAAAGCTATCAAAATCTGAGTAGACTAGACGTTTTTTATCATTTCTAAAACTGAAAGTTCTGAACTGAATCTGTCCTGTCTCCCCTCATCACCACACAGCTGTATATTAACAAAGACAAAAACAACAACAACAAAAAACTATCATGAAACAGCCTTTAACATATGCTAAGGAAGCTGAGAACAAGGGTTTTCTTAGATTATTTTAAATGTTAGAAGTGCAATAAATTCAAAATAATTGGCTATGAAATACTTTTTCTAGCTAACACATTTTCCAGTTAATTTCATTGATAAGAGCTGATTCTGTTCCCCAATTGTGTGCTTTTGCTGTTATCCTGTTATTAACGAGGTGAGCTCATATCTTTTAGAAACAGCAGTAAAAGGGCTTTGGTGGAAAAACATTTACTTTGTATTATGCTGGACATATGCTAAGAATATCTTATTGAGTTCATATATCAGGCCTCCAGTCTCAGCAAGCACCAGCTGATCTGTGTTCTGGATGCTGAAGTAACAAGCTGCTCTAAGCGCATGATCCTGAAAATTATTCATTAATGAACGATAAAGGGTTTAAAAGAGGAACACTCTTAACATTTTGGTGACTATGCTCCTCCAGTGAGAGCACACAAGTTCAGCTCAATATGAGGAAACGTTTTTCTGCAGACTGAGTTACACAAAATCCCTTCTATTTTCACTTACAGACGTGCACATTAAGATGAAGACTGAAGATCTTAATATATTAGTAACTGTTAAAATGTAGGTAAAATACCTTGAAAAGTTTTTAACTGAAAAAGCAAGCACGCTGTAAGAGATAAACCGTATGGAAACATGTTTAAGTTACATAAAAGCATTATATTTTACTTCAGGATAATTTCTACAGTATAAAGTTCTAAATAATCTTCAAATATTAATATTTTATATTAATGGAATTTGTTAAACAGCTCTGTTTCTAAATCCCTACAATAGCCAATAATCATACGTTAGCTATCAACAGAAGGGGATTCAATAAATCAAGACCAAAGCAGTATCCAATAGACTGGTCTTAAAATTGTATGCATAATTCTAGTTACCTACCCGAAGCATAGCCTGGACCACGTCTGCTATGCCCTCTATTTCTGTAAGGTCGACTACCTCGTCCAAGTCCTGGCCCATCATCAGTCATGTATCCTTTTTCTTTATCTGTACGATTTGGCGGTGGCCTAGAAGTAGCTCCAATCTGTCGAAGCTGCTCATCAATTTGCAATCTTTCCAAACGCAGCTGGTCCACTTCCTAAAAAAATGCAATCACAGCAAGTCGTATGTAACCACTGTTTGATCATCCAGATGTAGAAACACACTAGACAAGCACAATTTTCAAAGAAAAGAGACCCTAAATACTGCTGTTGATAATCTATTTAATACTTAAATAATAATTCAGCTTGGAGACTAATTTGTTTACTAAAAAACTTCCCAACATTTAAGTCTGTTCATTATCAATGCAATTCTCCCTGTTGCAAAGTTGGTAGGTTTAGATTTATTTAAAATGGATGCATAAGAAAGCATTTAGATCAACTGTTTTCAGGAGATAGTTAGCTATGCATCAGCATTAGATGCATTTCCTTTATGAAAATGAAGTCTTTTTGATTAAGGAAGTTAGAATATTCTTTAAACAGTGAAACTTACATGCCTTTATTTTTGAACACAGTAATATCTATGTGTAGCATCCCAACAACGGCATTTTAAACTTTTTAGGATAAATACCAACATAAGCTTCTTACACTTCTGCATGTAACAAAGATGAAAGTTATTAAACAATTACCAGATAACACTAGTCTCTCATAAATTCCAGAGGGGCTAGAGGTTACATAACAAATTTTACCTAAGTATAACGAATACTGCCAGGGAAACGAGGAAGTGTAAAAGCATAAAGAGCAAAGCATTGTTATATAGGCATAGAAAGACAGCAGGCAAAGTAGTTTAACAGATATGACTACCAGGAGATAAACATATATACAGTAATATCTACAGTGATACATATTCAGAGAGCATTTTTATTACAATTTAAGACATTGGTCGGTCAATAAAAAGCAGTAACAACTTTTATTGTCCTTTCTTTTGTCTCTGTGTATTATTATTTTTTAAAGACACAGGAACAAAGCTATTCATGCAAGTTTCATAGTTTCACCCTCACCAGAAATTTCATAGAATCATAGATTAGCTGAGGTTGGAAGGGACCTCTGCAGATCACCTAGTCCGAACTCCCTGCTCAAGGGAGGGTTAGCTAGTAGAAGGCTGATTGGGACCTTTTCCAGTCAAGCTCCAATGACAGAGATTCCACAGCTTCTCTGGGCAACCTGTTCCAGTGTTTGACCACTCAAACTAAGATTTTCTTTTTCCTTTTTAAAACTTTGAAAATGGAGTTTCCTGTATTTCCATTTGTGCCCAATGCCTCTTATTCTGTCAGCCAGGTGTCCCCTAACATTGGCTTCATCTTCCTTACATCCTCCCATTAAATATCTGTACACGTAAGATCACCCCGAGCCTTTTCTTCTCCAGGCTAAACTGTTCCAGCTCTTTCAGCCTCTCCTTGTACGAGGGATGCTCCAGTCCCTTTATCGTCTTTGTGGTCTTTTCCTGAACTCACTCCAGTATGTTCATGTCCTTCTTATGCTGGGGAGCCCAGAACTAGACACAGCACTCTAGGTATGGTCTCAACAGTGCCAAATAGAGGGGAAGAACCTACTCCTAATCACCTTCTTGTCCTTAGTATGTTTGGAACTGCTTCCAGGAGGCTTTCCTTTGTCATTTTCCCAGGGTGAAGCTAACCAGCCTATAAATTCCCCAGATCGTCCTTCTTGCAGTGATAGCAAGTGATAGCTAAAGATAGCAGTGATATTGGCTTTTTTCCAGTCCTCAGGAACCTCTCCCACTCACCATGACCTTTCAAAGATGATCGAAAGTGGCCTCACAATGACTGTGGCCAGCTTCATTCAGGGATGCATCCCATCAGGCCCCATGAATTTGCATATATCCAGTTTATTCAAGTGTTCCCTAACTCGATCCTCCTCCACAGAGCGTACGTCTCTTCATTGCTCCAGACTTTCCCACTAGTCTCAGGGGCATGGTATTCCCAAGGGCAAATCTTACCAGTAAAAAGCAAGGTGAAGAACGTGTTCAGTACCTTGGCCTTCTTGTTCTTTGTCAGCCCATCCCCTGCCCCACACAACAGTGGGCCTGCATTTTCCCTCATCTTCCTTTGCTGCTGATAGACCTGTAGAAGCCCTTCTTGTTGCCCTTCATATCTTTGGCCAGATTCAACTCCAGACAGGCTCTGGCTTTCTTAACCCTATCCCTGAACACTCAGTGTCCTTACATCCCTCCCGGGTCACCTGTCCTTGCTTCCACCTCT